CTCAGAGCAGAGGATGGGCGCGCTCATAAGTGAGCAAGGGCAGGTTAAGGAAAAGGCAGTGCCAGTCTGACCTGGAGGCATGGCCGCCGGAGAAGGCAACCAGTAGGCGATCATCGGAGCAAACGAGCGAGTGCTTGGAGATGGCAGTGCGGAACTTCGAGAACAAGCTAGCCTTCAGGCAGCCCCTGCAAACGTGCTCGTGCTGATTGATGACGGCTTCGGCAGGCATTGACTCACACTTGACGCAAGACGCCACTCCTCTCCGCTCCTTTTCCCGCCCCTCCCCTTCTGGGACGCATTCTCGCTTGTCGTCTAAGGACTCTGCGTCCGTGCACGATCTCTTACCAGCCGTCCGATCCTCACCTTCTTCACCCTTACAATAGTAGTCCTTCATTCCTCCTTTTGATTCAATCCCTGCACTCGTTGGTCGGCACCCACAAGCACCACAACTGCCTTTTCTCGTTGGTCGGCATCGAGCCTCGGCCGCAGTTGAACCGATTGCCCGCTCCGCGCAAGCGCGCTCTTCCGCCCCCCCCTCTCCCCCTCTGTACTCCCCTCCGTCCCGACGTGTCATCATCCCCCGCTCCGCGCAAGCGCGCTTTATCGCTCCCCCTCCGTACTCCAAATTCCCCCCTCCCTCCGCCATCGACTGCCATTCGTCGTCATATTCATCTTCAGCCGTGCGATTCGCCGCGTCGGCGCCGCCTTCGCCTACCCGAGCCTCCATATCTGTCAACCCTAGCTCTTCATCGTCCATCCCGCAGCCGCGAATCATCTTAGCCGTCTAATTAGGAAGTGGCTTTGATGGAACGTCGTTTCTGTGACAGACTGATCATACCATGGCCGTGGTTTCGATCGGCAAGTCGGTCGCGACTCTGATGTCAATGAAAGTGAAAGAAGGTGGAAGAAAGGTGATAAATGATGAGTCTTCCTCCCACCTTCAGCGGCTGCCTTAACGATAAATTACCCCGTTAATTGATTGGACGTACACATTCGATTGGATTGATTGTGATTGCATGTTTGCAGCCAGGAGGCGGGCTTGGACCATTTCTCGATTAATGCGTGTCGTCCTTGCGCAGGGGCCATGCTAATCTTCTCTCTCTTTATAAAAAATTAAAATTCTCTGTGTGTATCGTTCCAAGGATGACACGCATAAATCGAGAAATGGTCCAAATTTTAACGGATGTTCCCAAGGACTGGAGGAGGCCGGCTTGTGTGGGTTGCGTTTCCATCGTTTCCTATGCTTTCTATTTCAGGTAAGTCGTGAAGTCCAATAAAGAGTTTCGTATGCTTTCTACTTCGGGTAAGTCGTGAAGTTCAATGAAGCACAGAGGGATTTTTTTCGGGGTTCCCCATATCCGAGAAAGGGTGATCCGAGAAAGGGTGCGGTCGCCGTCGGGCCTAAAACCGGGGCTAGGTTCCTATCTTACTGTGTACCGCGCAGGGCGCGGGAGCGCAGCCAAACGGGAGCGAGGAGCAGGACACGCGAGGTGGCCCTTTTCTCACTCCTCCCGCCTCGACCACCATCGATCGACGGCCGTGGACTCTGGGCCTCGCCACACCACTCTCAAAATGTGAAAGAAAGACAAAAAATGTGGCGGATGCATCTGGCCATGTTCTAGCGAGAAGTTCATTCCCATTTCGCAAATTTCTAGAGTGGTGAGGCTATGCCCTGAACCTTACCTTTGGGCCTAGCTGCACTACTCAGCACATGCACAAAAGACAAAAACTATGGCGGTGTATACTTCCATGTTCTAGCGGGAAGATTCATTCATTCACATCACATTTTGCACAGTGGTGGGGCCAGGGCGTTTGGTGGGGCCAGGGCGTTTGGTGGGGCCAGGGCGTTTGGCCATCCCTTCGGTCACTTATCACTTACTAGAACCCGCCTGGCCCAAAACAACCCCAACCCCCCCCCCCCCCCCCTTCAAAAACGAAGGCCGAAACGAAGAAAAAAAAATGTTCCCCCTGAAAAAGGAAAGGCCGGGCGACGCCCGCCACGGAACAAAGACCTATGCAACCTGCCCTTGGTCGCCCGCGCTCCTCTGAGCCGACCGTTTCGGCTACCGGTCTGTGCCCTGCCCCCGACCGTGCACCTTGTAGACTCCCCATAAACCCCGTTAGGACTCGTCGACACTTCCNCCCCTCCCAAAAAACGAAGGCCGAACGGAAAAAAAAAACGTCCACCCCAAAAAAGGAAAGGCCGGGCAACACCCACCACGGCCAAACAACGACCTATGCAACCTGCCCTTGGTCGCCCACGCTCCAACCTCTGAGCCGACCGTTTCGGCTACCAGTCTGTGCCCTGCCCCCGACCGTGCACCTTGTAGACTCCCAATAAACCCCGTTAGGACTCGTCGACACTTCCATAAAAAGGACGCCCCGCTACATGACAAAGTGCAACGGGGTAAGACGCAGCCTTTGGCTGCGAACACAAGTCAGGGTGGTGAAGACTGAACAGGAAGGGAAAAGCCAGGCTCTGGCTCTCGTGGCGAACGGTAAACCAGTTTCCCTGTTAAACCACCACTACTTGGCCCATACATCGGCCGCGGGGCGTTGTCATTAATTAACGGCCAGCAACTTCCGGGCTTTGGGGTACCAGACCTCAATGGCTGGAAGCGCCAGCCAAAAGAAACTCGGCCGCGGTTCGGGAAAACTTGGCGCGCAGGGGGTCAGCCGGCTTGGCATCGATAGTTGGGCCAAGTACTGGTGGTTTAAAACTGGACCCTAAAATGTGGGAGTGGAGGGCAGTAGGGAGGAGAGGGGAGAGTGTAGGTCTCTTCAACTATACACAGCACGTTGGATACAGGAGCAATATCCCGGTCAAACATCCAGAAGTAGTGGCGAGGTCCAGATGGGCACAACTCCTGGCAATGGAACCAGAAGAGATAGGCAAAGCCCTCAAGAAATGTTGGGAACAACTGAAGTTGATCCCTAATCAGCGCCAGACATCCACCCTCTAGTTGGTGTCGTTGGTTGCCACACCTTCAGCGGTCTGGCTGGCAGAACATGGGATGAAATTGGACCTCAAATGCGGAAGGTGTGACTGGGCTTTTGAATCCACAGTTCATCTGTGGTGGGACTGTCCCGCATCAAGAAATTTGGACTTGGTGGGCGAAGCACTGGGAAAAATATACAGATGGAGATTTCCCATGGACAAAGGATTGGTGTTCGCAGCTAGGAGGCTGCGCTTGTGTGGCTTCTATTTTTGTGGTTTCATGTTCTTTCTATTTTAGGTAAGGTCGTGCAGTACATCTTCGCTAGGACGGGTTCATTTGGGGTCTCCGGTAGCAAAAAATAGGGTCTGGTCGCAATCGTCTCTAAGACCGGTTCTAGGGCAGGTTATCTTGTCAATGTGGTTGCAATTTAGTATAGGGCGTCGTCCATTGTTTCCCTTTTGAGAGATAGAGTTTTTTCCTGTTGCAAACTGGGAGCGGGCGATTTGGGTCTGCGTCTTTTCCGCTTTTTTTTTTTTTTTTTTTTCTACTGCATATTCCCAGAAATACAGTATCGAAGTATTATGCTGTTTACTACGACCAAGTAACGAAATCTACAACGGACTGCCCTGCCTCGTTGGCAGGGGTTACTAAGAAAAAAAAAAAACAAAAAAAAAAACGTACTGACTTTCCGAAAAAAAATCATATGGCAGGGTTTTTTTTTTCTTGTACTGCATCTTCCCAAAAATACAGTATCAAAGCATTATGCATCAGGGTTGGCCCCTGAGGCAGAATATCGAGGACAATCAGATGGTTCGGGGAAATCCTTAGGAATTACAACTCAGACTCTCCATATGGCAGTCGGCGGTGGTCCCGCAGGTTGGGTCCCTAAAGCATCCATAAATCCGTTGGTGTTTTCTCGTTCCCAAGGGGATTCTCACTTTTGTTCAACCTTGGTCCTTCACTCTGCGGTGCTCACTTAGTTGTCGGAAAAACCAGTCGAGGAGAATAAGCACCTCCGGGACCAGTTGGCTCACAAAGACCAATCGGGCAAGGACACAACAGACGGGAAGAGGAGGGCATCAAACGAGGTTTCTCCCTCAGATGACGAAGAGGGGGAGACTCCGGAAGATCGGTATCCGGAAGCCCCCCCTCATGACGACGAACTGGATTTTGTTGTCGCTGGGCTGTTTGCAAAATGGGCAATTTAATTTGACCCTCTCAAGGACTCAGAGGGGATAGTCATGCACACCCTCATAAGAAAACTCATTCAAATGACAATATCCCGCTCACTACAATTGAGGAACAATACTTGGGAGTCCCCTCTGGGTCATCCTAAAAACAAAAAGGACAGTGTATGAGGTCAGCGAAGAGATTGCTCATTCAACGCTAATGCAATGGTAACACCGAAGAATGGCGATAGAGCTAAGGGAAGAATTCATGAGTTCTGGTCCCTTTAGTCTGCTCGTTATCTCAACAGAGGATAATGTACTTAACTAAGACAGCCAGAGACGAGTCTTTATCGATCCCGACAATTGAAGTGGACTCTATCCTAACAAAATATTCTACAATAAAGACAGTAAATAAACGAGTTCTCCATTTTTTAGGTATTTGCGTTCTCTCCCTAAACCAAAAATGGAAAGGCACGTAGCGCCCCTTGCAGATGGAGGTAAAGTTATTCTCCAGATCGTCTTCCTTGCAATACAGGTCATCTCGGCTTCCTTTGCCAATTGGAGTTCCACAGGGTTTTATTGACTTCCTCTGTAGCCCCTGTTTCAATGCAAAATGGACTGTTGTGCGAAGATCAGGCTGCCAGCAAGTCTTTCAGCGTTGGACGTATCAGATTGGCTAGGCGGAATTGATGTTGATGATAAACAAGTCTATCTTTATGAAATAACAGAGCACAACCCCACCTTTCAAGTCGTCTGTCGGGGCCTATAGTTGGGGCCCCGACCACCAACCTTCCATTTTTCGAATCTTGTCAATGTTCAATTTCATTTCCTACAAACCTATGGTGTGCTCATTGTTATAGTGGAGCGACGAACGAATTCCTGACCGCTTGTCTCTATTAACTAAACCTTTTATATTCCAAGTAGTGAGATGAACCTCTTGACTGCCACTTGTGTGTCTAACCAATTGAGCTAGGCCGCTGGATGGAGCCCAGATTCCTCAATCACAGCATGTGGCACTCTTGGTGCCAACCAACCGAGATAGTCAGCTCGATCCTCTCAGTCGGTATCAGTACGGTCTTCAACCAACACGGGTGTGAGTGCACGTGTGAGTGGGTTGCGCGTGGTGTGTGGGAAAGTGTTGGCTTTAGACACTACCATCCAGAAGGTTGCCCATCCCCCACTTCATAAGACCTTTGCCAAACTTACTGTCTAGAACATAAAGCATGCTACCCTAATAGCTGCGTCCCCGCATCAAACGCGGTATAACAGTCTGCTGGGAGGAATTCATGAAGGACACAGTATTTTGAAAGGTTGGGGTTATATAGCACAGAATGTGAAAGTAGTTGGCTATGCAGTGATCGGGCAAGAGAGGAACGAGATAGTATTCCAAAACAAGGAGTGGCCAAACAAGCAAATCAGAAAAACCTTAAAGCACCGGTTGAGAAGGTCAGTGATGGCGGATTGGGGGAGAAAAGTAAGCAAGACGAGCAAACGGGAACTAGGACTGAAATGGTTCAGAGAAACATGGTGTATGAAGGAGAAGCTGCGAAAGATAGAAGACGAAAGATTTATCTTGCACCAATGGTTTTTCACAAGTTAGTAGACATAATGTTATCGTCCTGGACACTCGGATGCGGGGTCCTGGTGGGTCGCAGTTGACAGGCAGACGGTATGGAAGAGGAGGGAGTGTTTAAACCGCCGAGATAGGTAGGAATACCAGAACAGTAGAACAATAGAACAATAAAGGAGCAATGGGGAAATAGAGATTAGAAGTGCAGAAAAGTGTGAAGATACTCTTTATGGTTTGCTCAGTTTAAGGCCTTGTGAAAACCTTTA